TAATCCAAATACTGGGAACTACTTTTCTCAAAAAGAACCGGTTTTCGATTCCCTTTCGCCGTCGTGTCCCAGTAGATTTTGTTCAAAGTGTTCACTTCCTTTCCCGACAGGAAGCCATCTTGACGGGCCTGCTGCCGGAGACCAGCTACTCACTGACGGTGGCGGCATACACCACCAAGGGAGACGGCGCCCACAGCAAAGCCCGGCTGGTCACCACCACGGGGGCAGGTGCGGTGCGCACCGAGGGATATTTCACCGTGAACTCATACGTACTCCCAGGTGGCAAAAGCTCCGGTGTTCTCTGATGGCACCGAAACTTCGAATTGACATTCGAAGTTTCAGAAATCTAAACAACAACAAAAAATACACTGTTTGTATATTTAGTCGTGTAACCCTCAACACAAATAAGTTGTTTCATTCCACTTCAGTGCTAGTCACTCCCTTTCCTGCCACCTGGAAGTATTCTGATTATTTACGAATGTGAAAATAAACCGTACGTTCTCATCATATCGAGGGTCCTTGGATTTCATTTACAGTACCGGGCAAGCCCACCATGATGATCAGCACGACCATCGGCAACACGGCGCTGATCCAATGGCAGCCGCCCAAGGAGATGGTGGGCGAGCACATGGGCTACCGGCTGCAGTACAAGCGGGCCGAAGAGGACGCCTTCGCCGTCAGAGACTTCCACAAGACCGACGACCACTTCACCGTCACCGGCCTCCACAAAGGCGCCACGTACATCTTCAAACTGTGCGCCAAGAACCGAGCGGGCAACGGCGAAGAGTACGTGAAGGAAATCAGCACTCCCGAGGACCTTCCCGCCAGCTACCCTCTCAACTTGAGTGTGGTGGGCCTGACCGCCACGGCCACCCGGCTGGCCTGGGAGCCGCCCGCCCTAGCTGAGCGTAACGGGAAGATCGTCAAGTACGTGGTGGTGTACCGCGACATCAACAGCCAGAACGAGAGCTCCGATGCCACCGCGGAAACCCACATGAGCCTGAACGGCCTGCAGCCGGACACCACCTACGACATCCGGGTGCAGGCCTTCACCGCAAAGGGCGGCGGACCGCTCAGCCCCAGCATACAGAGCAGGACCATGTCTACCACAATGCCCGGTCAGCTCCAAAACAGCAAAACGTACATGAACTTTTGTCCAATTAAAACAAATGATTACCGTTGATCCTTCCGTTTTCCGTCAGTGTTCACCAAGAACTTTGGCGTGAAGGCAGTGACGAAAACGTCCGTGCTGCTGACCTGGGATGTTCCTGAGATCTTCGAGTCCGAGGTGCCCCTCAAGGTAGGCTCCCTGCAAAGTGTCCGCTCACAGTATGGCAGCAGAAATGAGAACGTCATAGCGGCCGCGATGTCGTCTCCGGCAGATCCTCTACAACCAGCAGAGCGTGGAGGTGCGCGGTGAACACAAGAGGAAGCTCATTACGCAGCTCACGCCCGACACCGAATACTCTTTTGTCCTCATGAGCCGCGGGAACAGCGCCGGCGGCCTCCAACAGCAGGTCTCCATCCGGACCGCTCCCGACCTGCTCCTGAACAAACCTTCAGAGTATCCGCAGGATGTGGAGGAGGGCGGGAAAGTCATGCTGCGGCTGCCCGGGGTCCCACCGGGAACCCCGTTCAGGTCTGCGCTGTCCTGGTTTACAGTGCGTTATGTAGGTTATGTGTCTACGTTACAAATGCACGTTAGAATGTAGGTTACGAATGGACTGTGCACAACAGGTGGTTCTACATCGTGGTGGTTCCGCTCACCCCAGCGTCCCTGAAGTGGGAGAACCCTGACGATATGGATCTCCAAGCGGTGAATGTGACCCCTGTTTTGTTTTCGCTTGCTGTGTCAAAAACATGATGAAGTGCTGTGGTCCTAAAGGTGCATAAAGGCGCAATATTTGACCTAGATGTGTCAGAAGGTGAATTACCAACATATGACAATCAAAACAATCGCATACGTTGGTAGCTAGCTTTAGCTTTTATCTCGTAACCATGTGTCGACATTTGAAAAAAAAAAAA